CTTCCTTCCTTCCTTCCTTCCTTCCTTCCTTCCTTCCTTCCTTCCTTTCCTCCCTTCTTTCCTTCCACCTTTCCTTCTTTTCTTCTTTCCTTCCTTTCTTCCTTTCTTCTTACTTCTTCCTTTTCCCTTCTTTCTGATCTTTTGAGACAGTTTCTGTGAGTAGCCCTGACTGTCCTGGTCCTTGTTCTACAGATCAAGATGGTCTTGAACTCACAGAGATCTACATGCCGCTGCTTCCTGAGTTCAGGAATTAAAGACATGCACCACCACCTTCCTTTTCTTAAATAGGAAATAATACTTTCCCAAACAGCACTTTAGCTAATATTTACTCTTCTGTATGATCATAGTTTATGTATTTTGATTTTGGAGACAGTGTCTAATGCTGTGTTGCTAAGGATGACTTAAGCTTCTAAACCTCCTAATTCCAAGCCCAAGGTCTGGAGTTACATGTGCTCCACTATCCTCGGTCTATGCAGAACTGGAGACCAAACCCAGGGCCCTCTTCTGTGCTAGGCAAGCACTGTACAAATTGGGCTACAACCCGAGCCTTCTAACTTATATTTCACAAGAGCTCAAAGGAGAACAAGGACTTCCAGGGACATTGGACAGGAGTAGGGACTGCTTGGGCTGGGGACAGAGCAGAGAGGGGGAAGGATACTCAAGGAAATTCATGGGAAGGGATGAGACGGGAGAAGACAGTGGTACTGCTGCTGAAGAGGAGGAAGAAGAGGAGGAAGAAGAGGAAGAGGAGGGGGAGGAGGAAGAGGTGAGGGAGACTAGCCTGGGAAGACATGGAGAAGAGAGACTGACTAATGTTCAGCCCTATCTAAATCATATGGGCATGACCAGTGACTCAGTAGACTAGAAACTGCCTGGACCATGTTCTCCCTGAAGCTATATTATGCTTAAGCAGTGCTTGCCCCATCCTGAGCCCTATCCTATAACCCTACCATCAGCAGCTTGGTAACTTCTCATATGTTCCACACAGTCTCTTCTCTCTTCTTTAGGGTCTTTGCCCCTGGCTCCTGACCTGGAAGGGTTTATGAGGGGCTGGGTTGGATTGGAGCAGCCAATTGATTCCAGATCTAGCTGCTTGCTCTGGGCCTGGGAAAGTGGCCAATATGTGGGGGTAGAGCCGGCCTTGTTTAAACATAAGGTATCTCACTCAGGGTTGTAAAACACTTGATCTTTAGAACTTGGGCACTTCTTTCTGGAATGAAGGGTAAGAATGGGGATGTGAGCAGGGGTTATTCTGAGTCACCACATATCCAGAAGCCATGCCCTTCTAAAGATAGGATACGCTAGGAAAAAGAACTTAAATTTCAGAGGCCAGAAGCCCAGGATCAGGTTCAACCTGGCCCCAGGGCAGCTTGCAAGATGGAAGAGTTGTATGCAACATCTCTCACTATAGAACTGAGGTTCTGCGATAGCTTCACAGCCAGGGGTTGGGGGGTGGGGGTTGGGGGTGGGGGTAGTGGGGGATGGAGGGGGGAGAATGCATGCTCTTCCTGTAAGGCTTACAGTCTAAGCACAGCAGGGCGCAGGAATAAAGAAAACACCCCCCCCCCAGAGTGCCCAGGTCAGACTGCAGAGATAAAGATCGTAGCTGTGAGAATGTGGCCGAGACTGCACTGGTCTGCTGGGCAGGGGTAAGGGATGAGAGCACATCTCGGGTGGAACTGAAAAGGGTGTTGGGGGGATGAGGTCCACACAGGAGAAGACAGAACCAGGGGACACTCAGTGAGTCCTCTTCCCACTCCATCTTTCTCTGACTATGGGGATGGCCAGCTCTCTTGATTGCAGTCCTCACAACCAGGAAATGAGCTGTCCATTGAGGAGGAGAAAGGGAAGCCAAACAGAGGGGATGAAGAAAGGACTTGATAATTACTCCTAGAACTGCTGTGATCAGGTACTGTATGCAGAGAGTGTAGGGGATGTAAGGAAAGTACTACATTGTGCAGAGTCCTCTCCATCAAATGTGCTTACTGTATACTGGTGTGTGTGTGAGTGTGTGCGCGCGCGCGCGCACATGTGTGCGTGTGTACGTGCTTAATCTTGGTTGTCAACTAGACTAGATCTGGAATCAACTAAGAGACTTTCCTCTGGGTGGGCTTATGAGGGTATTTCCTGGAAAGATGAAGTGAAGAGGAAGGCCTTCCTCCAGAAGGCAGCACCTTCTCACTGCAGCTTAGACATAAAGAAGTGTAAAGGAAGAGTGGAGTTGCTTGTTTCTGTCCACCTTCACTCCTTGCTTTTGAGTGAATCTACTCTGACTCTGCCACTTTTGCAGATGTTGGAATCCAGATTCATCATACTTCCAAGGTCGGTTGAAAACCAATGTTTCTTCAGGTAGCCCTAGTTTTGAAAAGTGGAGGCATCCAGCTAAACGGACTGAGCAACTGTAAGAGTCTCAACTTTTCCATCTTTTTTTTTTTTTTTTTTTGGTTTTTCGAGACAGGGTTTCTCTGTATAGCCCTGGCTATCCTGGAACTCACTCTGTAGACCAAGCTGGCCTTGAACTCAGAAATCCACCTGCCTCTGCCTCCCAAGTGCTGGGATTAAAGGCATGTGCCACCATTGCCCGGCCAACTTCTCCATCATACAGACATCTTAATCTTCCACCATACAGACTCAGCCAGAATTGTATAAGACATACTGATAAATCCCTTAGTAATGTATTTTTATTGTATTGGCTCCTCTCCTCTAGAGAACAATGACAACTGTGGTGATCTACTTAAAACATGTCTACTTCTTGCATGCAGGTGGACTCAACATTTCCTATCATGTACTCCTCAGCTGTCTGGGCCAGAGTCCTTGGTGTCACATGGGGAGACACAAGTGATGACATCCAGAGGAGAGATGTCTGTTTAACAGAACTAACTGCTGCCCAGGGAGGACAAGCCCCTAGCTTAGATCACATGATCTTCTGAAACAACCTTAAACCTGTCCAGACTTACTCTGTGATTGGTCTTAGAAAGCAAGTGCGCAAAGAATCAAACCCCTAGCAGCACTGCTATGTGGAAAGGGGATAGTGGGGAGCCCACACTGGTAGGATGTTATGAACTGCCTCACCTCTCTCTCTGTGCCTCACTGCCACTTCAGTTCAGTCAGCAAGAACATCAAGAATCAGCCTCTAGAGTCCTCAGAAGGGTGGCATGTGCCCTTTCCAGAATGGCCACTGCAGACACTCACTCATATACACACACATTGAATGCATGAAGAGTATTCCTTCCCACCAGCTGTTCTCATACTGTCCTACAGAAGGAGTATTCTCCACCATCAGGAGACAAACAGGATCCACACCAGAAGGGCAGAAGCAGGCATAAGAGTGTTAGAAGAATTATGCTGGCATTTGTAGCAGAGTTTCAGGGACTCACAAACCCCATTCCTCCACTTTCCGTTAGCATGGTAGTTCTTGGCAGAATCTTTATAGCCTGTTCAGAGCAGGAAATGAAACAGTGTAGCAAACAAGGCATAGATTATGAAACAGTTTGCTCCATCATAAAAAGTATTTTTTTCAAAAGGGATGGGCATCCATAAAAGGCCTATTCAGTTGTACAAAGAATGTTCAAGACATCTATAATGAAAACCTCAAGGCACTGATGATAAACATTCAAGGCGATAAACAGAGAGACACACAATGTTCCTGGATAGGATGACTCAACAATGTTAAAATGCTTATTCTCTTCATTGACCTATTGATTTTAAAACATCTTAAACAAAGTTCAAGCAGCACTCTTTGTAGAAATAGACACACTGATTGTGAAATTAATTAATTTTGAGACAGGGTCTCACCATGTAGGTCAAAGTGGCATGGGACATGCTGTATCCACCTGCCTCTGCCTGCTGAAAGCTAGGATTAAAGGAATGCATTACTACGTTCAGCTGACAATGAAATTTATGTGAAAATCCAAAAGACATAAAATGGCCAAAAATTATATGAAAATAAAAAAATATAATTGAAGAACTCCTATTACCTCCTTCAAAACACACTATACCACTATGGGAATCATGGGGCTGGAGAGACAGTGTAGTGGGTTGGTCTGGTGCTGCTTGTATTGTTTTGTTTTTGAG